AAAGTAAAAATTTCCCAGTAGTTTTCAAAAGCGACGTGAAAAACAAAAGAAAAATCAATTAAAAACGGGAATTTTTAAGCAAAATCTGTTTTTGAGAAAATCGATTTTGGTTATTGGTGTAACTATCAAACAAATGAATGTATATGCATGAAATTTTTACTGGTTGTTTATATTTGCATTTTCTATACACGATAATAATTTTTGAAATATTATGATTGGTTTTGAACTGTTTAGAATCATTTTAATTTTCCTATTTTTATTAGTTTTTTTTCTAAAAACATCAATAAAATTTTATTTGTTGGTTAAAAAGCTTGACAATTTAATAGAAGGCTCCTAGTACATTGTTTCAAAGGCAGATGAAAAATAATAAAAATCCTTAGTCACAGTTTTTTTTTATAAGCATTTAAAGTTCAAAAATTGACAAAATATGGAAAAAACACGAAAATGAGCAAATTATTTTGAGTTAAGAATTCGTAAAAATTTTTCTTTTTAAATCTACGATTTTAAAATGTAATACAAGATTACTTATAAGATTATCTACTTTTATCAAAAAAAAAAAGACTATAAGAAAGTCAAATTAAATTTTTATGAGCGTTTGAAATTCAAATTTTTACAACATTGGATACTCCATTTCCCTATTTTATTGTAATTCAAAAACGAATAACTGTAGATAGGTACATTAAAATTTCCCTGAATGTTTATATTACCATTTCCTATACACCATACAATTTTGAGCTTTTTACGGACATTTTCAGTTTTTAATTTTTTTAGTTTTTTTTTCTATAAATATCAATAATAAAGTTTTATCTGTTGGGTCAAAAAGTGTAAAATTTTAATACAAGGCTCCTGATTTATTGTTACAACATCAGTTGAAAAATATTAAAAATACATAGGCACAATTTTTTTTTACAAGGACTTAAAGATCGAATTTCGACAAAATTTATCAAATTTAAAATTGAATAGGTAATAATTTTGTAGTTAAAAATTTATAAAATATTCAAATTTTATATCTAAGGATTGAAAATTTAAAACAAGATTCCACTTAAGTAGTTAGTTCTGTAACCAAAAACTCTAAAAAACACATAAGCACAGTTTGATTTTAATGTTATTTTAAGTTCAAATTTGGACGAAATTACATAAAAAAAACACAGAATAACTATTTTAGTTATTTTTTTGTGATGTACTTTAAATTTCTAAAGTATACTACTATATGTCGATGATAGTATCACGGTTTGTTATTGATGTATTTATAACTATCGTTATAAGTACCTAATGGATATTGTGATATGATTAATTTAGAATATACTCGTATTATAGGTACCTATTATAGGTCAATTTTTTTTAATACCATAGATTAGTATATAATTTGTCTTATACCTAGACTAACATACCGTCTCCGCTTGGAATCGTTTTTCTTGTACAATGATATTATATCATTGAATTCAAATTTAATACCATCCATTATACAGTGACCCACCTGTAACCTACTACACAGCAAAGCACCTTTTTCTTTTTAAATCTAAGATTTAAAAATTTAATACAAGATTATTCATAAGTTCGTCTATCTTTATAAAAAAAAGTGTCTTCAAGCAAATCAAATTAAATTTTTATGAGCGTTTGAAGTTCATATTTTTACAATACCTATTGACTCCATTTCTCATGTACCGATTTTGCTATTTTGTTATTATTCAAAAACGAATAACTGTAGTTAGGTACCTACATTAAAATTTTACTGAATGTTTATATTTTCATTTTCTACAGTGTGTAAACGGTAATCGAGAACACTCAATATCTTTGCGTAGAGACCTGCTATTTGAATTCCGTTTCTTTGGCAGTTGTTATGACATAAAAATACATATTTTTATGGTCTTTGAATTTTTTTTACTTAATTAGTCACGCGCATGCGCATGTCAACTTTTTTTTTTAAATGGCAACCCCCTGCTTTAACCACTAATTATTTTTTGCCTATTTTTTTAATGAATTTTGGTAGTTGATTCAACTTTCTAAGTCCAAAATTGACCAAGTTCCAGCCAATAAAAAAAAAAAAAATGCGCTCGATTTTCAGCTTTTTGATTGTAACTCTGAAAATAATTATTTTAGGATTGTTAAACATTAACATTTTTGTAACTATTTATTACGGTGATATTCAAAGAAATAAACAACATACTAATTTACGTTTTTTCTGCTATAATAAGTTATATGATTTATTACACAAATTAAAGAGAAAATTATTCAGTAATTGAAGTTAAAATAACGTATGAATATCACCGTAATAAATAGTTACAAAATTTATTCACTGTACAGTTCTGTTATAAGTTATAACAACTACTTGGATTATAGATGTAAATATGTAATAATGTTAATAATTTTTTAAAACAGAAGAACAAAACCCATTAAATACTAATACTTACAAGAAAAAAAAGGATGAAATAGAAGGACAAATTACAATAATTTACAACAGACAATTACAGTCGTGATAGATTCAAGGACTTTATCTTTCTCTTTCTGGCCACTCAAAAATAGATGAATATTGAATCAGTAATCATGTAAGTAAATGTTAATTTTTGTTCTATTGGTACCTATTCTATAATCAATAGGATAGGTGGGTAATTAAATTTGTGCTTTTGCAAATCTAAAACTCAACTACAGTAGGTAAATCATATTATTTAAAATATATTGATCTGACAATTTGTCCATCGCTTTAATAAATTAAGTATTTGTTCTCCAAGGCGTTTAAAACGCAACTGGTGTAGAGATATGCTAACTTAATATTATAATATAAAAAAAACAAATAAATAAATTCATATGTAATTATACATAATTTAATGTATAACCTCAATTTTTAAGTGTCATCACTGGGTGGCTGCTTTTATCATGCTTATTCATGTATTTTATTAATGTCAGCTAATACTCTTATTGTACCCACGAGGTACAGATTGTGTATATAATGATAAAGGAAAAAAAAAAGTATTTGTTATTTGCCTTATATTAAGCCAATAAAAGTATAAAATTGCAATGTTTTTATATTATGTGTCCTTGATAAGTTTTTCAATAAGTATAAGAGAAGAAAAGTTCATAACTACTTTTACTGGACTACGGCAAGATACAATTGATGTAGGTAGGTAATTTAATACAATATAAAGATGTAATTTTTTTTACTCTCTTTGAACTAAAATATTAACATAATGTTATAATATTAATAAAATTCAATTTACTCTAATTTTAAAAACAACAGAGTAAAATGGATTACTGTTAATGTAAAATTTGCTATGTTGTACTTTTCTTATACAGACAACACATGCGTGGTATCCTCAAGTAAAGACTAATTTGAATATGTATCTGAGTAAAATATTAATGATGTCTTAAGATCTAAATTTCATATCATTCATATTATCTAACACATCTTATACTATAATACATCGTAATAAATATACATAATACAAACATTAAATAGTAATTAGTAAATTTAATTATTAGGACATTACACCCACATGTGTTATCTCCGTTTTACAAATGTAAAACAGCAAACATTTTTTGCGCAGGAAAGAACCAAAAAGACTACATTAATAACTAAGAACCAAAATTTTAATCACATAAAAAGGAGAACTTTAGCTATAAAATATCATTCTTATTTTTCGTATAAGTGATATCTAAAAAATGAAAACAATATTTCACAGATAAATATTCTGAACAGTATTGTATATCAGTCTTAACTATCACTACAGCCTAAGTGGTTCTATCCGGCGCAAAGCAGTTTTTACTGTTGTATATTTGTAAGACAGAGACAACACATGCGTGTGTAGAATCCTCTTAAAAGGTAGTTATAATATACCTAAAATAAGTAGACAATTTTGTAAATATAAATATAAATCTATATTCATGAGAAATAAGTTATACAAATCAAGCTTTATTTAAAAATGGTATAATAAACATGAATACATGTTTACTACAATTTATGGTTGTCATCCTGTCACCATTGTACTCTTTATAACAAAACGTTGTGATCAATTATATAACTGTCAATTATTATTTTTGAAACTAGGTACTGACTTTTACTCAAATTAAAAAATAATAAATTAGTAGGTACACACCTATTTATTATAAATTTAAAATATGATAAATTAACAAAATATATAAGTATTATTGAAATTATTTTTTTTATTTATGATACAGCATCGACTACTAGGTTATTAGCTTGTAATCAAAAATAATATTTACATTTAAATAATAAATAGTTTCCTCAGATTAAGTTGTATATATCAATAAGTTTTAGAAATGTGTCGATTTTGTTAGTGTCATCTGGGATTGGGCTAAGGCAGGAATTCACAAACTTTTTTGGTTCACTGCGCCCAATTTGAACCAAGGTTTTCTCAGGGCACCCTTCCCTAAGTCATATAATGACTTATCATAAAAAAATAGAAAAATTAAATAAAATCCAGTAAAGATTGTCATGGATAATATGAATATATTTATTTAATTTAAATTATACATAATTTATACATTTTTATTTACTCAATACTTTACTTTATTTACTAATTATGTCTGTCACTGCCATAGTTGAGTTTTAAAATTTATTTTTTGATCATAAAATTCTTTGGTAGAGCGGCGGCACCCCTGTAAAGACATCGCAGCACACACTTTGGGAACTCCTGTGCTAAGGGGTTCGAAGAGGTTGTCAGACATTTCTAGGCTTTTTCTGGTTTCGACAGTAGACAAGGAGGTGCTTGAGTACTTGACTATAAGAGGTTCCCCACAGTTTTGGAACATTACAGGTTTTTTTCTGCACATAAGATGCCTATAAGACATCTTTGAGTGACCTTAAGTATGATATTTAGTAATTATCATATTGCACATTACTAAAAAAAAAATTATAATTTGGGACAGGACGTATGTATATTATAATATATATCACATATAATTACTTCATGATATTTTTTAAGATTCACTTGACACACCATTGTAATTTTCATAATTTCCCTTAATTAAGTGTTCTCAAGTATTCAGAGTCTCAGATTAAAATCTTGTCCATCTAAATGAATACAATTTTCTGCATTCATTTCGCATTCCGGAATTATTTCAGATTTAATGTCATCAATAATTTCACAGTCGGAATCTCTATCTTCTTCAATGTCGGGTATTACTTCACGAAATACTGGATATTCTGATGTATCTATACCATTAAGCAATAACATTTGTTCTGTATCAGCAACTTTCTCTTTAAGTGCTGCATATCTCAACTGAATATCTTGTACCGACCGTGCTTTAGACACCATATAATTAAGTCTTGATTGTAGTCTTCTACTTGTTTCTTCAAGTTTTCTATAGGTTTTTAAAACACCTCCAGCAATTCTTTGTCTGTGCGGACCATTAATTTCGACCCACGGAGATGATCCTAAAGTTTGTCTTTTTCTTCTTGAAATAATATTTCTGCCCATATTTATTTTATTGGGATATGTATTGGTATTCATTTTACAGGGATAATTAACTGTTTGGTCTAAATCAATATCAATAGTAAACGATTGAGTAGAAGTATAAATTTGATTATTTTAAGCGTTGATTGATAAATTAAATTAACTCTACATACTCCAACATATCTCCAATGCAGTTATCCAGAGTGTCAGAAATGGTTTGTTTTGTTATGGAAACCTTGAAATAAATTAATACATTAATCAAAATAGGTATATTGCATTTATTTATAAATAAAATTGTTTGAAATATGAATTCTCCTTCAAATTCTACCTATTATACACTAGCACCAAATTATTCATAATACCCAGTTTGGCTTTAGGCCCAGACACTACATTAAATCAATCAATTAATTAATACAATTGCGAGTCTTAGAAATAAAGACATATATCTAGATAATGCCAAGCATGCCAAACATTTGTTGGAGAATGCTTTTCAAATTAAAAAAAATTCTTAGAAAATAGAAAATGTACTGTAAAATTCTTATTTCTTTCCTAACGTATGTACAAATTTATCTCACTTCCACACTTAGTACATTGGGCATTTTCATTGTTTCTAAAACATTTTTATTTATTAAAAAAATTTAAAAATGTGTGGTTGATTCATTACTACTTGTGATTAAAAAAATATATTTTGCCCTATTGAGTGTGACTGCCAAAATAATATGTAGAATAAATTATAGTGTGGAGCAAAAAGTGACGTCCCAAAATCAGCCCGCTACAGGTAGACACAGGGCAACGGAGACATTTGCACCAGGCGGCCAATTTTTGAAACATTTAGGGGAGCGGCCAGGCGGCGGTGTATATTATATAAATAAGGTTTTTTTTTTCTTGGAAAGAATTTGTTTGAGTACCTATACTTGGACTTTTGGCATTGCATGACTATGACACGGCCATTTAGCATAATTTACTCATTTTGTCAATCAATGATAACTATTAATCTTTGTAATTTTTCTTATAGATTATAATTGCATGTTGTTATAAATTTCGACAATAATTTAAGTAATGTATCATCGTGATCTGTGTTTTAACAAAATTTTCATAAAATAAAGAACTACAACTAAACAATTGAAAACCAGATTAATTTTGTATTTTTTGGTGCCCCCCCCCCCAATAACCTTAGTGGTACAAATATTGTTAACACAGGACGCAAAAAGTGTAAATACGGCCTTGAGTAGACCACACTCTATAGCAGATGACAACGGCCGGTGGACCGCGCACTATATCGATGGTGAAACGACAAAAGGGTCTAAGCGTCATAATTCATTATTTTCAGGAGCCGAAAAATTTTTTTTTGTGATTTTAATCATTTTTTTTTTCTAGATAAGCTATAACTTTTTTTACAGTAAGAATAGGGTATTATTTTGTAGAATATTTTTTTTTGTTTGTATCTCCTTCATGTGTATTCATATTTTTAATAAGTTTTTGATTATTATTTACGTGCATACGGCAATTTGAAAAAAATTGTTCAATATTTTGGCGCTTATGCCCTATTTTTTTTTTTTACACTATTTATCTACGGCGCTTATGCCCTAATTTTTTTCTACATTTGCCTGTGCATTTATCGCCATTGTATTATTGTAATTTATAGTGATTACTATTTTTATTTCAGACCAATAAAATAATATTAAAATATCACGTAATTTTCACATGTTTTTTTTTTTAAAATAAGATGTACACAAATATTTTCCGCAAAAAAAAAAATATGAATCTTTATTAAAATATTATTATGATGAAAATAACGGAAAAAAAATTGTAATTCTTTAGAACAGTGGTTCTTAACCTTTTTTAGTTCAGCGCCCCCTTTATCGTAATAACTTACTGCTAACGCCCCCCCCCCCTCAAAATCAAAATTTCTTCTAATAAAGATATATATATATATATATTTATTTATTTATTCATCAGTATATTACAGTATAACATTATTAATTAAAGTAAAAACTCTTATTTTTAGATAATAAAAGTTATATTTTTTACCACTTAACAAAAAGAATTACTTAACTATGAAAAAACAAATTATAAAATATAAAAATTATACCTATCAATGACTGCCCTGAGCCTGATGAGTAGCTGCTAACGTGGCGAAGTCTGGTTCGATATTGGTCAAAGCTAAACGTAGATCACCTTTGTTACAAATGTACAAACGATTTCTTTGTTTCGTCAAAAGCTGAATCTTTTTTCAACTTGCAAGGTACAGTATTCAATAGTCCAGTTATGGTTGAAAATTTAAAAATAAATTTTTTATAAACAAGACGTTCCCGATACGTAAAATGCGATTAGATAACATTCCGTATGTCGTTGTATCGTACGAAATTACAACTATTCTGATTTCACGTTCAATTATTTGTAGTGTTGTTATATAATATTAATAAATTGTATTATTTTTAATCTCTTAGTTTGAAAAAGCTCACCGCCCCCTCCAAAACTATCGCCCCCCATAGAGACCGAAATGCCCCCAAGGGGGCGGTAGCGCCCCCGTTAAGAACCACTGCTTTAGAACATAACATAAAATTTAACCTTTTCTTCAAACTTAAATGAAAACAAATAATAAAAAATAACTTATTTCTAGACTTGACTTTGTACTTAAATCTATAAAACAATGGTTAAAATAAAAAACTACTTACATTTTTAATCATTAAAATAAATAATTACTATTCCTTTGTTAAAAGTTAGGTAAAAATTGAATAAATGAAATAAATGATCTAGTCTGAGTCGTACAAATTCGTGTACAATGACACCACGCATAAACGTCGCTTGTCCCCTAAAATTTTGTGCTAATGTCGTTTATTCCCAATTGTTGTCGTATAGACCCTTTATTACAGAAGACAAATATAATATAAAGTGTCGTTTAGACCCCAAATTTAAAATTCAAATATTCGTTGTTATAATGGTCACAGCCGATTTTGAGCACGCGCAATGGACGTAAGATATATTTTTCTATCCAAGAGTATAAGCCATAGACCTATAAACTATTAGTTTATAGGTCTATGGTATAAGCTTAGACCCTTTTGCCGTGTCACCATCGATATGACAGCCGTAATTACGTATAACATGTAATTGAAATTAAATAAAGCTTTAATTAAATTCATGCCTGCTCAAGGTGGGCGAAAAAACGGAAATACTTACGAAATTTCAAGATTGCTGATACAAGCAGTGGCTCATGGCGTCATGTCACACTGATCGACATTCGACGATCACAACGTGGATTGTCGTTATGTTGTTTGATGACTCTTGAATAACGTTAGATCGAGCCTCGAGGACATAGAAATTGAGAACCCGAAAATATATTATAATAGTTGCGTAGATCGTAGATACTTTGGCGCTCGGGAGACCGGACCGGATGCTTCTTTCTGTCAGTCACTAACCTAATACGAACAGTCCGCGGTCCAGCATGGAAAATAATAAATATGTTTATTGTTTATGCAAGCACTACACTCAGACAGTCCGGCCTACAACAGAATATCAGTACTGCAACCAGTGTTACCAACTCATTTTTCATAAATTCCCTACATTTTTTATCAAAAATTCCCTATTATTTCCCTGTAATTTTTTGATAGAATAACGTGGGGGGCTTTGCCCCCCCCCCCACACCCACCAAATTACAATTAAATATTATATACCACACATGACACATATAAACATATTACTAGTAATAAAACAATTTTGTACCAACTCATATTATGTGAATTTCCTACATTTTTTTTCAGTATCCATATTTTTTCACTGTAATTTATTTAAAACAATTATACATAAATACAAAATCATCATATTGAAATAACAAGATTAACCAATGGAAATCCATTTTTATTCTAAATTAACAGTTTAAAATAATAAATTGAAAAAAACAGTCTTTATTTATCTATAAACAATGTAAAACAAACTTCATAATACTGAATGCAAAACAATTAACAATATTTTATTACATTATAACCATAACAAAATTTTATAACAAAGTAGTTTAAAATATTCAATTAAAAAAAAAGGTGGGCAAGTGGGTGTCGCTCTGCTGTACAGTAGGTTACAAGTGGGTCACTGTATAATGGATGGTATTAAATTTGAATTCAATGATATAATATCATTGTATAAGAAAAACGATTCTGAGCGGTGATGGTATGTCAGTCTATGTATAAGGCATATTATATACATATCTATGGTATTAAACAAAAAATTGACCTATAATAAATTCCAAATTAATCATATCACAATATCCATTAGATACTTATAACGCGTTATACATCAACAAAAACCGTGATACTATCATAGATATATAATAGTACACTTTAGAAGTTTCAAGTACCCACGAATAGTATTATTCAATCACAACAAAATAACTAAAATCGTAATTCTTGGTTTAAATATGAAATTTTGTCTAAATTTGAAATTAAAATGTCTGTAAAAAATAAGTGTGTTTATATATTTTTTAGATTTTTTGGTTACAGTATGAATTATTTAAGAGAATCTTTGTTTTAAATTTTCAACTCTTAGTTATAAAAACTGAACATTTTATAATTTTTAATTCCAACGATTGATAATTTTCGAGATTTTGATAAATTTTGTCAAAATTCCAACTTTAAATGCTTATAAAAAAAAATCGTGCCTATGTATTTTTAATATTTTTCAACTGATATTGTAACAATATATCAGGAGCCTTGTATTAAATTTTTACACTTTTTGGCCCAACAGATAAAACTTTATTGATATTTATAGAAAAAAAAACTAAAAAAAATTGAAAGCTGTAAATGTCCATAAACAGCTCAAAAAGAGTCAAAATATTTTCAAAATTGTATGGTGTATAGGAAATGCTAATATAAACATTCAATGAAATTTTCATGTATCTACAGTTATTCGTTTTTGAATTACAACAAAATAAGGAAATCGCTACATGAGAAATCGAGTGAAAATCCAATGTTGTAAAAATTTGAATTTCAAACGCTCATAAAAATTTAATTTGACTGTCCGGTAGAGATTTTTTTATTGATAAAGGTAGATAATCTTATAAGGAATCTTGTGTTTCATTTTCAAATCTTAGATTTAAAAAGAAAAATTTTTACGAATTCTTAACTCAAAATAATTTGCTAATTTTCGTGATTTTTCCATATTTTGTCAATTTTTGAACTTTAAATGCTTATAAAAAAAAATTGTGACTAAGGATTTTTAATATTTTTCATCTGCCTTTGAAACAACATATTAGGAGCCTTCTATTAAATTTTCAAGCTTTCGCAACCAATAAATAAAATTTTATTGATATTTTTAGAAAAAAAACTAAAAAAAATGGAAAATGAAAATGTCCCTAAACAGTTCAAAATAAATCAAAATATTTTGAAAATGTTATCGTGTATAGAAAATGCAAATATAAACAACCAGTGAAAATTTCATGTATATACGTTCATTTGTTTTAGAGTTACACCAATAACCAAAATCGATTTTTTGGAAAACCAATTTTGCGTAAAAATTCCCGTTTTTCCTTAATTTTTATGTTGTTTTTCCCGGCGCTTGTGAAAACTACTGGGAAATTTATACTTTTGACCCCCCAAAGTACCAACTAGATTCACTTTCCTATCAGAAAAGCTACTGATGAAGAAAATCCAAGCACTTTTACTGTCCTAAAACGTGATGACAGACACAAAAATATAAATAAAAATATATAATAAAAATATAAAAATATAAAAATATAAAAACATACATCATTGTAAAACCAATACATTCATCGCTCCGCTCAGAATCTAAAAGGTGGGCAAGTGGGTGTCGCTCTGTTGTACAGTAGGTTACAAGTGGGTCACTGTATAATGGATGATATTAAATTTGAATTCAACGATATAATATCATTGTATAAGAAAAACGATTCTGAGCGGAGACGGTATGTCAGTCTATGTATAAGACATATTATTTACATAGGTATCTCGTATCTATGGTATTAAACAAAAATTGACCTATAATAGGTACCTATAATAAATTCAAAATTAATCATATCACAATATCCATTAGGTACTTATAAGCGTTATACATCAACAAAAACCGTGATACTATCATGATAAATCTACCTAACCTAAATCATAGATATATAATAATACACTTTAGAAGTTTCAAGTACCCACGAATAATATTATTCAATCACAACAAAATAACTAAAATAGTTATTCTAGGTTTTTTAATATGTAATTTCGTCCAAATTTGAATTTAAAATGTCTGTAAAAAATAAGTGTGTTCATATATTTTTTAGATTTTTTGGTTACAATATGAACTATTTACGAGAACCTTTATGTTAAATTTGCAATCCTTAACTATAAAAACTGAAAATTTTATAATTTATTACCTAATTACAATGATTGATAAATTTTGTCAAAATTTGATCTTTAAATGCTTATAAAAAAAAACTGTGCCTATGTATTTTTAATATTTTTCAACTGATTTTGTAACAATATATCAGGAGCCTTGTATTAAATTTTTACACTTTTTGGCCCAACAGATAAAACTTTATTGATATTTATAGAAACAAAAAACTAAAAAAAAATGAAAGCTGTAAATGTCCATAAACAACTCAAAAAGAGTCAAAATATTTTCAAAATTGTATGGTGTATAGGAAACGCTAATATAAACATTCAGTGAAATTTTCATGTATCTACATTTATTCGTTTTTGAATTACAACAAAATAAGGAAATCGCTACATGAGAAATCGAGTGAACATTCAATGTTGTAAAAATTTGAATTTCAAACGCTCATAAAAATTTAATTTGACTTTCCGGTAGAGATTTTTTTATTGATAAAGGTAGACAAACTTATGAGTAATCTTGTATTACATTTTCAAATCTTAGATTTAAAAAGAAAAATTTTTACGAATTCTTAACTCAAAATAATTCGCTAATTTTCGTGATTTTTCCATATTTTTACAATTTTTGAACTTTAAATGCTTATAAAAAAAAATTGTGACTAAGGATTTTTAATATTTTTCGTCTGCCTTTGAAACAATATATTAGGAGCCTTCTCTTAAATTTTCAAGCTTTCGCAACCAACAAATAAAATTTTATTGATATTTTTAGAAAAAAAACAAAAAAAAGATGGAAAATGAAAATGTCCCTAAACAGTTCAAAATAAATCAAAATATTTTGAAAACGTTATCGTGTATATAAAATGCAAATATAAACAACCAGTGAAAATTTCATGTATATACGTTCATTTCTTTTAGAGTTACACCAAAAACCAAAATCGATTTTTTGGAAAAATTTTGCGTAAAAATTCCCGTTTTTCCTTAATTTTTATGTTGTTTTTCGCGGCGCTTGTGAAAACTACTAGGAAATTTTTACTTTTGACCCCCCAAAGTACTAACTAGATTCACTTTCCTATCAGAAAAGCTACTGTTGAAGAAAATCCAAGCACTTTTACTTTCCTAAAACGTGATGACAGACACAAAAAAAAATATAAAAACACACATCATTGTAAAACCAATACATTCATCGCTCCGCTCAGAATCTAAAAAAAACAATCTTCGTTTACTATAAATGATATAAAAATCAAATTTTGAAGTTGTACATTTGTTTGTTAAACAAAACCATATACTCTTTACCAAAATCATATGAAAAACAATTGGAATCTTTGAGTACTTGTTTGGCATTTAACAATCCAATTTAGTCTGCAACTACTGCTATTCGACCAAAACTCTATAATAATCTCAAAACTATAATAAATTATAATAATCATTCAATTATAAATACGGTTTTAGATTATATATGATATTATTAAAGAAACTATATTTTAATACACAATTAAAATGTCATTACGGCAAGTGCTGCGTTCTAGTGAAGTTAACCTCTCTTTAAGTCCCGTGTTTGATCACTCGTTTATTTTTTATTTAGTATGGAAGCATATAATTTAATTAAAATTTAACAATTTAGTAATATTGCGTGTGTTCTAATATTTGTAAGTCCAAAATTAAATGATTGTGCCATAAGTAACAACAACAACATAGGCTTAAAAATAAGTAATAGGTACTCATTAATATAATAAGTCTCACGAATAAAAAAAAAAAAAAAGCGAGACGTAACACATAGCGTTGCGCTCATGCTTAAAAAAACGCAAAATTGCTTACTTCCAAGGGCCATAACTTCGAAAGTAAGTGAGAGCGACAAATTCTGATTGCATCATCGTTCTTAACTCGATGAGTTACCCAAGTTCCAAAAAAAAAAAAATCGAAAAATATGCATGGGGTGGTAAAGTGCACTTTAGCCTAATAATATTATATAATATTATTATTTTAAGTATTTTTATACACCTGTGATTATTTGTAAGATTAAAGATATATTGGCTAACAAAATAAAATTATTTTTAAATATTATTTTTTCGACGACAGTTGGTTAATTAAACTGATAAGTCATAATACTAGAGAAATGTAATATTTTATAATTATTGAATTGAATTTTTTTTGTCAAATATATTATATTTTGTATGGTGATAGTTAATAGGTGGTACTCAATGTAATATATTATCATTTCGATTTTTTTTAAATAGGTAATGATAGGTACTAAGTATATAATTATTATAATCATTGATTTTTATTTGAAAATAAATTATATTTTATATCAAGATAGTTAATACTCATTTGAATTAACAAATCATTACAATATATTATGTATAGGTATTTTATTTGTACGTAATAATTATTTCAATTTTTTTACATAGGTTATGATACCAAGTACATAATTATAAACATTGAATTTTTTTTTAATAAATTATTTTTTATTTTGTTATGTATATAATAAAATACACAGGACTTTTTAGGCTTAGGACTTATCTACCGCAGACTTTTTTTCCTAGGGCATTTTTACCACGACTCATTGACCCATAGACATATTATAAATAAATGTATTAACTTATTTTATTTATTTATATGTCTATGACTGGACCCTGTGTTACACACCGCAAAGTATAACCAAACAGTGGAAGACCGAAGAAACATAAAGAAAAAGAAACAAGCATGAGCACTTCTCATCGAGAAGTTGAAATACCAATCTAGACATCATGATAATAATATATGAATTTCATTATTTTTTTTAAATGAAATATATTTTATTTGTGATAAGTTACATACACCAACACTCTTTCAAAATTCATGAGCAAATCCTTCATTATTCTGGCTTTGTAAAAATGTGCGGTTTAACAAATGTTTACAAACAATTAAAAGAAAGAATAGTTAAGGCAAAAATTATTTCTTTTGATTTCTTTTATTTTTAAACCTATCCAGTACACCAAAACGTGTTGATTTTCCATCATCAATCTCATCCTTTGGCCGTGCATTCAGTGCTCTAACAAATTCCTGAAAAAAAAAATTAACTTGTTAGCAATCAATAAAAATTTAAATCCGTGAGTCTCAATTTAGTATATACCTTTGTTTTTTCTTCTAATATTTTTTCTTTTATTTTTGAAGGGTTAGCTAGGGTTTTTTTCTTGATTTTATTCCTCACTTTGATATTTATTTTCAATGGTTTTACAGTCTACATCAAAATAAAATGAATAAATACATTATGCTAGTATAAATTTATGAGTCCTGAATTATAGTTTACACTTTTATGGCTATTGGTTACACTTACTTGAAGTGAATTTCTTGCCGTTAGTTTTGTCTGGAACGTATTTATATCTACTTCATCCACGGTCGATTCTAATGTTATCATTTCCGCTGGGATCTACAGTAAAATTATTATTATTTTCAACCAAGTTCTTAATGAAGAACTTTAATTACAACTACTCTACCTTTTCTAAAAGCATTTTCACTTCAGCTTCTTTACGCTGTTTCTTTGTTTGGAATGGATTTCTCTCCAAAGCATCAAAGTTTGGTTCACCAGATCCTAAACATCAATTGTTAAAAATTAATATTATTTACTTAATTATGTGTTCAATAAGTATGGTAACTATTAAATATTTATAAATATTTCTAACCGGGTATTAGTAAGCTAGAAAAACCACCGTCGTGTCCCGCTCCAAGGACATCTTCAAATGGACAAAAAGCTATATTGTTTATCGTTCTGGCAATGTTATGCCTGAGATAAGCATGCTGAACAGTTTTTGTACAACATTCTTCATACACCTAGATTATCAGTTTAATTTTTATAAATGTCATTACAGTAAAGAGTGTCATACTTACATCAACAACATTATTGATGGCCACAGCTAAACATCCAGTTTGACTGAATACCATACTTCTTGGGCTAGTCCTAACTTTGTAATCTTGTACTGGTCCTCTTAATCTACGTATATCCCAAACTTTAATACTCCTATCCATACCAGATGTGGCCATGTACCTATAACGATAAAATTAATATTAAACTATAAATAACCGTTGTGAAATACAAAAATCACGTTATTTTTACATTCCATTAGAATTTATAGCAAGTGATGTAATCATATTTCCATGACAAAGTATTTTAGCAACAGGTTCCCGAAGATTAGGACTCCACATTGACACAACACCTAGAATTAAACAAAGATAGGTATTGTATAATGCTATTAGATTTAAAAAAAAAAGTTAATAATGACCTTTTGTATGTCCTAAACAGATCAATGCATTATTTGAATTTTGAGTCATAAGGCTCAATCGACCCATTTTGGCATTAAATTGTGTTACTAATTTTCCCATTGACACATCTAACCAAGATAAAAATCCTTCTTCGCTCTGTAAAATATAAATTTATGATAATTGCAATTTCAAATGTTTCCATTAGAATCATAATACTAAAAACCATTGTACATGTAATGTTAAACTTACGGCAGTACTTAAAAGAAAATGATACGGTAGAAATTCCTGATGTAAAACATTGTTTAAGTTCTTCAAGCAATGTACTTCCACGCCTTGATTGTCGTACATATAAACCCACTTTTTTTGTGCAACCGAAAAAAGATTTTCATTGTGAAGCCATCTGTAAACAAATAGTTGTAATAAGTGGTGACTTGTGAGTACAATATTATTTGTATTCTTTAGAGAATTAAATCAGTGATGATTTAAAATAGTTTTTGAAAATGTTTATAAGACATAGGTGCAGTTTACTATGGACTTACTTGACGTCATACACTTCTTCCATAACATTTATTTCACACATCAAATGTTTTGTAATCCAGTCCATAGCAGCAACATGGCCTTTTCGTCCACCAATCAATAACTGACGACCATTTAATGAATAGTCAATACTAAAGAAATACATACATTGAATTAAGTTTAAATTGTATTCAAAGGGCTGGAAAAAAAACTTACTCGTACGGACCAAAATCAAGTTTTAAATCAAAATGTTTCTTAGCACTAGTCACATCAACTGAATTTGATAGCTGTGTTTGTGAGATTTTTGTTGTTTTCTCTCCGGGTTCAGCAATGATATAACTTTAAAGGAAAACCAATTGTTAAATTAAAAATAATAATGATAAATTAAATTAATCGAATCAAAAAGAAATGAACAACTGGAGACAATTTGGATAAATAAGTATTATGTTTGTTACCCAGAATTTTCAGGCAACAATACATTGGCTGCTTCTGATATTTTAGCTGCTAATTTATTTTTGGATTCATTAACTATTCGGCGTTGGTGAACTTTCCCCATCTATATAAATGTTAAATTAAAAATAATTATACACAAATAATCAAAATGATTAATGTTTTAAGAAATCAAATTTTGCTTTTGATAATTTTATTTGATCTTAAACTTTAACTAATAACTAAACAGTTAACAAAGTCAGTACAACACTGTCTCACCTTAACAATATTGAAGAATTGACTTCTATTTACATGAATCACATTGATAGAAGACAGTTACAGATTTTAATTATTATACAAATATACAATGATCAATGCTACAGGTCGATACAGACCACAAATCACAATAAATGTCAACAATACTGAATGTCTGAATGCCGCACGTCCGCATGGCACATTCTTATCAATAAATTATCAAGTTTTTTAATTTTCTATAGATAAAGAAATGGAAGTGCCCATGCCTATAGTCCAGTGTTGCCAGGACAAAGTTTCAATATAATTTATTTATTAATTAGCCACAGCGTAATATTTATCATGAAAAACGACATTAAACTTAAGTACTCAACAATATACTTTTTCCAAATTACGATGTAGGGAAGCTGCTGATCTTCTCTACATTGTGTTCCAAAAAGTGTTTTGTAGAACAAAGGGGGTAAAATGTAGATTTTAATTTGGAACGAAATATTATATTGTGGAACAGTGATCTGGTTGATACCACAAATAGAGTACCAGTGTACCCACAGAAAATTCACTTGAAATATTATTTTGTTTGATAGTGATTTTTTTTATCTTATTGGTAAAGTTGAGGACATGAATGTTGTTGTTTATGTTTTCACATGACGTCCCACTACGACTGTAGTTAATGGTTTTCAGTTTTTAAATTTTCAGACACTCGGACCTCGGTGGACAGGCCACTTACAGGTTACTAGTCACTCGTCACTCTTATGTTCGATGTTGTGAATTAATTATTGCTCATTTACTCATTAGTCATCACCTATTAGGTGATACGCTAATACAGAATTATTTGGTCGACGGTTGTTTATTCTAAAATATTTACAACCTTATTCCTTCAAATTCCCATATTGACCACTACACACTTTTGAATTATATAAAAGAAAAAAAAATGGGCAAAACGAGAAAAGAATATCCAGGTAATATTTAAAGTTGTTTACTGTGGTTTGAAAATGGCCTATACTTTATTGTACTCTCAATATCGCCAAATTATATAACTATATTAAAGCATCATTGTAGACCTTCAATGGAGTCACTGAGGTTTTCTCGAAAACTCACTATCCCAGCGGCGTTCAACTTTTTTATATCTGCGTACCGCCTACTCAGTTTGAAAACTTACCTCTTGTCCAAATATCGTTTATTTTGCTTACCAAAAATGAATATATGTTATTTTAGATGTATGGAAATTTATTTTATTAGGAACTAGAAATTATGTTAATATAAGTATTTAATGCATACAAATTAAATTAAATAAGTACAATTATTGTTATTTATATTACAGTAAAACTTCCGTTAACGGTCACCTGTATACAACGGTCACCTCTATGTAACGGTCAATTTTTTTGTGGAGTGTTATCCTAGTTTTAACTTACCCCTGTAAGGTGTCATAATAGCTGTCATTATTTACAGTCCCTTCGGTAACCTTTATATGGAAGTTCTACTGTATTATTACTATCAAATAAACCATTTATTGTAAAAAACGATCCATTTAATTTTTTTTATAAAGTGATATTTTCTTAGTTTAATAATTTTAAAATATTAAAACTTAGAAATTCTATCAAACCTTTTTTAATTTTAAATTAATATTTCACTTTCAGAGAAAAGGGGCAGAAAAAGAAAGAAGGACGATTTTGATGAAAATTCTATGGGTTTGGATGATCCTGTGATATTAGCTGTTAACGAAGAAGGTATTTAGTAACAACATACTTTAAATTATTTAAGTACGTTATTGAAATTATATTTTTAAATAATATTTTCTTTGATTTGTAATTTAGAGGGTTTACCAAGTGCTGCTAAAAAGAATGCTGAAACTGCTATTAACAGTGTTGAAGATGAATTTGGAGCTAAAGACTATAGATCACAAATGAATCTTAAAACAGATCATGCATCTCGACCATTATGGGTTGCTCCTGATGGACATATATTTCTTGAATCGTATTCCCCTGTGTATCGCCATGCTCATGACTTTATGATTGCTATTGCCGAACCAGTTTGTAGACCAACTCATTTACATGAAGTAAATATTTTTATTTATTTTTTATATTTACAATTTAAATAAGACCTATAAAATGTTATTTTATTTTTATTTCAGTATAAATTAACTGCTTATTCATTGTATGCAGCTGTTAGTGTTGGATTAGAGACTAATGACATAATTGAATACTTGAAACGTTTGAGTAAGACTAGTATACCTGATGGTATAATAGAGTTTATAACTGTGTGTACACTTTCTTATGGAAAAGTTAAACTTGTACTTAAACATAATCGATATTTCATTGAATCACAACATCCGGATATCTTACAAAAGCTTCTTAAAGATCCTGTTATTGGTTCTTGTCGTCTTAAAAGGCTGGAGGATACTGATGCATTGATCACAGAAGAACAAAAAATTGAAAAATCACATGTATATACTCTTATTTATTTATAATATTATGTTACAATATATTTTCAGTGTTGGGTAAGTTACTTTTTAAAAGTAACCAAGTAACATGTAATAAGATTATAACTAGATTATTATTTTGTTACTTAAATACAAAAATACTAAATATTATATTACTTTTGTTTATTCAAAAGTAACTAGTAACTATACTCTATTCAGAATAAGAATGCCCTCTTTTGCGCATGCATACTGAGCCGCCCGAACAATAGGACCCCCTCAAGCGGTGCCAGGTGTTCTGTGATTGGTCGCCGATCGTTTGCAACAAACGTAATTCCACTTTTTCAACGGCTGCCACCTTGAAAATGAGGGGGGAGGCTGGGTGGTGTCGACCAGTTTTCGCCGGTCAAGTTGGCATTATTATTCTGAATGGAGTATACTTAGGAATTTAAAAAAAAAAAAAACTTATAATAATATTAATTAAATAAGTAACTTTAGTACGTTACTTCCAAGACAATTTATAGTTGAAACTATTGTAATGTACATATCATGATTTATGACTGTTTATAAAATAATTATTTTTTATCAGGTCACAATATTACGATAATTCCTATGGCTAATAAAGAAGTAAATATTGTTATGTCTTAGTTTCCTGGAGATTCTTCAAAAGACAAAGAAGATCATTTGAATGACGTAGTTCCAAAAGATATAACAGATTTATATGAGAAAATTGATAAAGTTGAAGAAGAAGAAGAAGAAAAAACACAAAATCTTGTATCATTTGAAGTACAACAAGAAAAAATTGAAATAATACAAAAGCGTTGTATAGAGATTGATACACCTCTGTTAGTTGAATACGATTTTAAAAATGACAAAGTCAATAAAGACATTAAGTAAATAAATAAAATTATTTAATATAAAATTATTTTAAGTTAATAAGTAGTAACTTTTAATTTTATCTATAGCATAGATTTAAAACCTCAAGCAACATTAAGACCTTATCAAGAAAAGAGCTTGAGAAAAATGTTTGGAAATAGTCGTGCAAGATCAGGAATTATTGTGTTACCGTGTGGTAAATATAAACTGTGTTATATTATAATATATTTTAATATATAAAATATAAATGTACAGTTGTCCACCAATAACACTAAATCAATGGTTATCTATTATTAATAAAATCATGAACAAATAGATAGGTATGTCAGCAACTATACGAGTTTTGGTTCAGTTAGCGCATCAAACCCTTCCCAGCCATAGTCGTAGTTCGCCTCATTTCATTGGCTATTAAAATAGCCGGCCAACTTACAGAGGCAGACCAGCTAATAGACAGGGTTTGGAGTGGTTGGCAAACCCGATGCATATCAAAAAGTTGCTTACATATCTATCTATTTTGTCACAAATAAAACAACAGGTATCTGACTTGGTCGGGGCACGGATATAGTATAAAAAATATTTAAGTGACAACATTTATTTATTAAATAAATACTCTTGATAATTTTTTGTATACTTACTGCTTACTAGTTACTAGTTGTAAGCTGTGTTAAGTGTTTAATCTTGTTTTTAGGAGCGGGAAAAAGTTTGGTAGGTGTAACAGCTTGTTGTACTGTACGTAAACGTGCGTTAGTCCTATGCAATTCAGCAGTTTCTGTTGAACAGTGGAAGTATCAATTTAAAATGTGGTCTACAGGTATTTATTATTACTTGAAAATTTAAAAGAATACAGATTTAAAATGATATGATTTGTTCCTAGCTGATGACAGTTTGGTATGCAGATTTACATCCGATGTTAAAGACAAATTAATGGGTTGTGGTGTGTTTATTACAACTTATTCAATGATAACACATACACAAAAGAGATCTTGGGAAGCTGAACAAACAATGAAATGGATTCAAGAGCAAGAATGGGGTATAATGGTGTTGGATGGTAGGAAACATAACTTTCACAGTTATTTCTGCAGGAGTTAAAATGTATTACTTATATTTTAATTTTATAGAAGTACATACCATACCAGCTAAAATGTTTCGACGTGTATTAACACTAGTTCAATCACATTGCAAATTGGGCTTAACAGCCACATTATTACGAGAAGATGATAAAATCGCAGATTTAAATTTTTTAATTGGTCCTAAACTTTATGAAGCTAATTGGTTGGAACTACAACAAAGAGGGTACATAGCCAAAGTTCAATGTTCAGAAGTATGGTGTCCAATGGCTCCAGAATTTTATCGTGAATATTTAGCCACTAGAACATGTAAAAAAATGGTATTGTATTACAATTTTGGTTTTTCTTAAACGGTATAATCAATTATATTATTAATATATTGTCTTTTTGTACAGCTTTTTTTTGTGATGAATCCGAATAAATTTCGTGCTTGTCAATTTTTAATACGTTATCATGAACAACGAGGAGACAAAACTATTGTATTCTCTGATAATGTATTTGCCCTTAAAGAATATGCCTTAAAGTTAAGTAAACCGTATATTTATGGACCAACATCTCAGGTAATATATTTTAATTAATGTTTTAAAATTCTTCTAGATTACCAATTAAATATTAATATAATGTATATTTTATATTTATATGTGTAGGCAGAGAGAATCCAAATATTACAAAATTTTAAATTAAATCCAAAAGTGAATACCATATTTGTCAGTAAAGTTGCAGATACATCATTTGATTTACCAGATGCCAACGTTCTCATACAAATTTCCTCTCATGGTGGAAGTCGACGTCAAGAAGCGCAACGTCTAGGTCGTATCTTACGTGCTAAAAAAACTGCAATAGCTGAAGAATATAACGCATTCTTCTATACCCTAGTGTCACAAGACACAATGGAGATGAGCTACTCAAGAAAACGACAAAGATTTCTTATCGATCAAGGATACAGTTACAAAGTGGTTACGAAACTTGCTGGAATGGATGAGGTACACTCTATATTTAAAAAAAAATTAGTAAACAACTATTTTGAAATTGTACTGTATATTTTACTTTAGGATCCAGAGCTATTTTATTCTAGTAGAGAAGATCAAGGTTTATTACTAAGTAAAGTCTTAGCAGCCAATGACACAGATGCGGATGAGGAACGAATGCCGTATGAGGGTACATCCAAGTCCTATAAGAAAATGTCTGGTAAAATGAGTTCTATGTCTGGTGCTGATGATGCGGTGTATGCAGAATTCAGAAGAAATTCTGGCGTTAAACATCCTTTGTTCAAAAAATTCAGGAAGTGATGTTTGTAATAATAATTAATAATTATACCATATTTGTAATCTAAGAAGATAAATGTTTTGAAATCAAATGTTTGTATTTCAGTAGTATTAAGTTTATAAAACAAGTATTAAAACTATATCTATTCTGCTTACCGTTATTTGTTTTATTTCTTAGAACTTATTATCGTAATAAATTCTGAAACAAAAAATATTTTTACTGTTTTTAATTTAATTGAAAATATTAACGTTCATCCTTACCGTTATAATCAATTTTTTTGTCACCATTTAAATCGGCTTCTTTTATCATATCTTCAATTTCTTCGTCTGTGAGCCTTTCTCCGATACTGCACATAACACGTTTGAGTTCATCAAATGTTATGAATCCATCGCCGTTTTTGTCAAATACTTTAAACGCTTGGTGCATTTCTTCTTCGCCGTCTGCTGCTTTTAGTTTTCTGGCCATCATTAACAGGAATTCATCAAACTCAATACTACCATTGCCATCTTTATCCACTTCTTTAACCATACCTTGCAAATCGGTTTCTAGATATAGGTATATGGAAAGTTCAGATTCAATTAATACATATTAATTATATATTTCATTCTAAGGACTTTGGTGTATGTATTACAATTATTTTAGCAGAAAATTGTCTGCAATATTTAAAATTGGTTTTTCTGCTAGTAAATTTGATATAGTTGTTACTTTTGGAGAAATTCCCTCTCTTTCATGAATAATGATGAAAAATTAACAAAATAATGCTTGGAGAAACAGTAATATTTTACGCAAATCAGTTTACGACCAATATAATATCTATTTTGTTTTTTTTATTCTAATTGCGAAAGGAACACTGCTGGGAAAATATGTAATATAAGGTTGGCAGTTTGAAAATACCAAAATGATATATTAAAATGTCGTCATTTGAGTTATAAAGATTTACCTACCAGTAGGCCTTTGACCCAAAGATCTCATGACCACTCCTAGTTCTGCCTCAGTAATCCGTCCATCATGGTCTTTATCGAACAGCATAAATGCTTCTTTGAATTCTAAACAAAGTCAAATTTATGAATGTTATTTAACTATTTATGTATTATAAACTAATAAGCCATAAAGCATTGCTGAAAATTCGGACGCATGGACTAATTAAAAAGTTAAAATAAATTATTTAGTTTTACACTTAATTAATAAGTTAATAATTTTTTTTAATTAACTTAAGTTGATGGATAGTATTAATAACTTAACTAGTCAAAGTATCCATTGTTAGTTTAAAAATTAGAGTGAATCGACTTATGATAATATTATACTTGATGGTCAGAACATTATCTGTGTTTGAATGTGGGTTTAATTATTTTTTTTAAGATAATTCATTTTTTAAGTGTAGCAAGATTCAGGACCTATAGCATTTGCACAGTACAGAAAAATTAAAAGGTATAAATGGTATAATAATTTTAGTATACCATTTAACTATAGAGTATATCCACAAACAGTGGCGGCGCCAGGAATTTTTCCCAGGGCGGGCCAAAGGGAGGCCAACATATATTTGGGCAGGCACAGTTGTTTGGACGTATGGTAGTTTAATCAACGGGGGGGGGGGGGGGGGACAGGGGCCGGAGTGTCCTTTTTTGGAATACCCACCTTTGAATCTACATACATAAGTACCTATAAGTACTTTTGTAATAAAAATTGTTTATTTCATTTCTTAAGGTCTTTGACCTCCCCCCTTGAAAAATGGTAGTTGAGTTACAGTCTCAGTGACCAGGAGTTTTGGTGAGTTGGGTTATTTATTTATCAGATACTTATTTAAAAAGAAAAGTAAAATGAAATACATAAAACTGCAATCCTTTATATTTTCTTTATTAAATAAACAACATAATATTATACATCTAAAAAATTTTGATTTCAAAGTTTATAATTGAATACATATTAATACATTAGCAAACCATAACTAGGTACATAATGAAATATAAAACAACTATTAAATACATATATTAAATAATATATTTTATGAATAGCAAGAATGAAAGATTAAGATAATAATAATTAATAGGAGAGTACCTACTCGACTAAATAACCAAAAATTGTGCAGCGACGACAATAAAGGTTATTATAATAATAATTACTGTTCATTAGTCTCTAGCTGTTACATGCCCATTGCCCACATTACAGACTGATTGGACTTCGCCACTTTGGAGTGTGGGTAACGACAAGTCGACAACGACTAACGATGATTGTAATCTATTCCTTATGAGTTATGACTAACAGTCATATTTCAGAATTATCTAAAATTAGATTTATACAATAATATTGTCGTACTTAAAAATAATAATTTCAACTATTAAATTTAATCAAAATTTTTAGGCGGGCCAACGGGCCCGCCTTTGGCGCCGCCACTGTCCACAAATAGTGATTGAGATTTGGAAGGAAGCAGAAGCCCTACTATATAATAATATTGAATAAGCTGCAGAAAAACAATTTGGGAAATGTTTGAGGGGCTATTGAGTATTGACATTTTTTGGGGGGGGGGGGGGGGTCTTAGCCCCTAAAGCTCCCCTATTTGCGTCTATGCATTTAACTAGGCAATCAATTTTCTCGATGTAAGAGTTGGTAATCGTTATAAAAGAGGACAAAATTTCCATCTAGGCGGCAATTTATCAATTATTACTAATAGTAAATAGTATATAATAATTAATAATTCACTATTAACAACTTTTAATTATTTTGTTTAATGTTTAAAATTTAAATTAATAAAATAAAATTTATATTTATATATTTTAATAATTTTTTTTTTGTTTTTTTGCATAAAATCGTAAGAATAAAAAAAAAATATTATTTCTATTATAAATTTATGAAATTGGTGGTTGTTTAATAATGTACTTAGTTCATTGTACTACAATATATTATATTATTGACCTTGCCTCCAGGATGATTGTCAGACACAACACAAAGATATATCGGAAGTTAATACATCAGATCCTACCCAGGAAAAATGCCAAAAACAGCCATTGACTATACGATATAAAGCCGGAAAATTTATTTTTTCTCTCCATCACATTGACCCTTATTGGCTTAATTCAGGCCCAGTTAGGAGCTTAGATTACATATTATATCGCATACCTATTATGCAAAGTATACATTTATACTTGAATACAATTTTAAAATATTAATTAATTAATTACAACGTAGACAAAGTATAGTATACAGTAACAATTATTGGGGCTCGGATTTAAATAGCCTAAAAAATATCGAAAAATGCCCTTTCAAAATATGCATTCATGACCTAAACACTCAAAAAGATGTACTAAAAATATTTTCCGGAATCAGAAATCAAGATAAATTTACGAGTCGTTTTATTTAAAACTCAGATTAGGTACCTACTTTATGTTGTTTTAGTACAATACCTAATAGGTACCTAAGTGTATTTATATAATATACTTTTATTTTATTTCGTAATATTTCTAGAAATAGGTTAAAAAATTACCTAAAAAAAATAACTAATGCCTAAATGCCCTATTAAAAACATTTTAAAATGCATTTAAACGTCAAAAAGTTCGTTGTTAGCATATAGTGTGTACTCGAAACACATTTGCATCTTGGAAAGTATTGTGTCGAGCATTCCATAAAAAAGGATTAAAATGCATCTAATTCCCAGCCCTAACTATAGTATATATTATACCTATTTTACAACATATACTGTATTGTGGATAATTAGGTAGCTAGGCAAGTACTTTAAACATTACAGTGACTAGCTGTGGACTTAATTTGAGGCACGTGCTTCAGTTACCATTTACGTAAATACGTAATTTAGGACTTGGATTTAAATAGCCTTAAAAATATCGAAAAATACCCTTTCAAAATATACATTTATGACCTATAAAAGTAAAAACTCTAAAAGATGTCCTAAAATTATTCTCTGAATCAGAAATCAGGATAAATTTATAGATCCTTTTATTTAAAACCCAGATTAGGAATACCTAATACCTATATATGTGTATTTATATAATATACTTTTGTTTTATTTCGTAATATCTCTAGAAATAGGTTATAAAATTACCTAAAAAAATAACTAATTCCCTATTAAAGAAATATAAAAATGCTTTATAAGTCAAAAACCTCGTCAAAGGTTGGTTGTTAGCATATATAGTGCGTACTTGAAACACATTTGTATTTTGGAAATCTTTATTGTGTCGAGCATTCCATAAAAAAAGATTAAAATGCATTGAAATTCGAGCCCTAACTATAATATATATTATACCTTCTTTACAACATACTGTATTGTGCCTAATTAGGTAGCTGTAGGCAAGTACTTCAAATATTATAGTGACTAGCTGTACTCTACTTAATTTGAGGCACGTTTTTTCAGTTTAAGTCAAGAATAAGCCAATCTTTCTAAGTTACCATTTACGTAATTACTTATATAAGTATATTCTATGATCTCTAATATAAAATATTGTGCCTCAAAAATTATGATGAAGTTCGCCACACCACTGGTGACTAGATATCTATAAAATAAATAATAAATATACATTTAAACTTGAATAAAATTTTAAAATATTAATCAATGTTAATTATATTGTATACAATATATTATAGTATATAAGTATAGGTAACAATTAGGGCTTGGATTTAAATAGCCTTAAAAATATCGAAAAATACCCTTTCAAAATATGCATTTATGACCTAAAAACTCTAAAAGATGTCCTAAAAATATTCCCTGAATCAAAAATCAGGATAAATTTATCGGTCGTTTTATTTAAAACCCAGATTAGGAATACCTAATACCTGTATGTGTATTTATATGATATATTTTTGTTTTATTTCGTAATATTTCTAGAAATATGTTATAAAATTACCTAAAAAAATAACTAATTCCCTATAAAAAAGAAATTTAAAAATGCTTTATACGTCAAAAACCTCGTCAAAAGTTGGTTGTTAGCATAATATAGTGCGTACTTGAAACACATTAGTATTTACTATTTTGGAAAGCTTTATTGTGTCAAGCATTTCATAAAAAAAGATTAAAATGCATCGAAATTCGAGCCCTAACTATAATTTATAATGTACCTATTTTAGTATTTTACAATATACCTACCTAGTGTAAGTACTTCAAATATTACAGTGACTAGCAGTGGCGTGACGAAGGACTTAATTTGAGGCACGTGCTTCAGTTTAAGCCAAGACTAACACGATCTTTCAAAGTTACCATTTATGTAAATACGGAATTACTAATACGAGTATTTATAATCTCTGATATAAATTATTGTGCCTCACAAGTTATAATGAAGTTCGCCACGCCAAGCTGGTGACTAGATATCTCTATATAAGCTAAATAATAAATAATACAAAAAACTTTACCCGCAACTTGATCTTCCGACAAACCAAATTCATTCTGAAATAAAATTTTGTCGTAAGTGTTCTTACTTCTCATCACAATAGTTATTGAAATAATAAAAATAGTATTATAGGCAGTACTGATTGAGTCCGTATGTCATATCTACTCGTCAGTTTCCTTATTCTCGAATATTCCTTTTTATAACGGTCATTATCGCTATTTTGTGCACTCATATTGTACCTCGTACCTAGGTATAACGATTATTCGATTGATTGATTGATTTATTATTATTAATATTCGGATAACCAATGATTTTAGGGTTTGAATTTAATTTACGATTTAAAAAACTTAAAGTTTGAGTCACATTTTTCGGGTAAACAAAACGTGCACAGCACAATAATTTTAATATAAGCGTACTAATATAGTATACGTATATTTAAGAGGAAAAGAAAAAGGAGTTGGCGCCGTCATCTTCAGAAAGTTGGATGTGTTTATTATTTTTGTTATTAATATATATTAATATACACGTATATACGGCTCCCACTGCAGCAAATAAGCCAATTTATTTTTAGACGAAAGTGTTAAACACTTAAGCTGCTATAGTGGATGAAAAATTATACACGATATCATAAGCGAAACTGTAATAATAGAACATTTTATTGGGGCAGGCCAAATGACGAATATTAATTAAAATTCCAATCGCAAAGTAAGTTTTGATAATTTTGATTTTAAATTCTATCGAGTCAGCAGTATTAGCTGGTCAGGTCGTGGCCTGCAGACTGTCCTGACCGGTATAGTTTCGCCTGTGCACAATATTAATAAGTATATTAAGTGGATATAGGTAATAACCAGGCCCATCCATATGCGGACATCGTTGGTAGCTTAGGGGGCTTAGCCCCCCCCCCCAAATATTTTAATGGCCTCCCCAAAATCGAAACTTTACACTGGGTCACTTTACATTGGATTATTATAGCTCCACTAAAAATTCACCCAAATTTCCGCGTATGGTCCCACCGTTAGGGCACGAGCAAGTCATGCATTGCGGCATACAATATTAAAAGAAATTGAAGGCGGCAAAATTAAAGAAATATCGGCAGAGGAGAGAGGCATTAAAATGTTTGCTTTAGAGCGGAAAATATACGACGACGGTCCTGCAATAACTAAAAAATACGCATAGGTACTATATTAGGTTAAAATTATTATTATTATGCAATATTGTTACCGCCATTATTGGATATTTGGCTGTCAAATTTGTTCGTGAATAAATTATATATAGGTACCTTATGGTTAATATCAATCGAATTTCATATCCAAATTTTATAGGAGCGTATTAGTAGAAAACAGTGGTAAGTGGTAAAATTGTTTATTTTTCTAGTTGGAAAACTTTTAATCCGAATCCCGAACGTTTCTGATAGACTGCAGGTAGACATTAGACAGGAAGATAAAGAATAATAAGTTAATAACCGAAAGATTTCAAATTCCATCTAAATAAAAAATTAACGATGTATTCAGCTTAACAGATAAATGTTTTCTTAGTCACCAAATTTCAACTAAAAATCTGATGGGGAGGGGTACCGGGATTTTAAAATTCAAATCGAATAAAACAATATAAATTGTTTAAAATTATAAATACATTAAATAAAATATAAGCATTAAAAATATAAAAAAGGCATATAAAAATAATAAAAATTATAAACCATAAACATTAACACTGGACAATGTACCTCCACTGGGAGGTCTCTTCAAACTGCGTTTCCTGTGTGAACTAAAAAAAATTATCAATTAAGCTTATTGTTAAACTTTTGTTACAGATTGCCTGGTAAAAAAATTATATAAAAAAAAAAACATTAACACTTAGCTTTAACATTAAAACATTATTACATTTGTACGTTTAATTTTTTCCAATTATATTTTAAAGTTTATTTGTTTAGGGTAACTAAGTAGGTACCTATATGTCGAATTTGAAATTATTAATACTTATCATGTATTTATGTAATAATATTAGATCGTATAATGTGTAAAAAATCCTTAAATTATAAATTAATCAATAACTCTTCACTTGTAATGACACACGCTCGTGGTTGATAATTGATACAGCTAATGTACCTGTTTTTTATGATAACAGATTGTAATATACAATTATTGTAAAATGTATTATTTATTATATAAATATTATGTAATACGATATTTTTAGATTATAGGTTCTATACAATATAAAATAATATATGTAATAATAGTGTTTCAAAAATTACTTTACCTTTGTTAAAATTGCCCTAACAGGCGTTAATTAATAATAATAATAATATACAATATACAATATATTATATTATATCCTTATTCGGATTATACTAGTATATATATAGGTACCTACTCTAAGGTTAATAAATTAGGTTTATTTTGATATGAATAAATCGAATATCATCTAGAAGCAGATAGCTTAAACTTCGTTCATAATATATATAGGTAATATTATAATAATGTATTTAGCATTTTAGCCATATACCTATACTCTATTGGTACGAAATATTCGTATTACCACTAATACCACTAATAAATTTTAATCATAGCTAGAAGCCGGATGTGATATAATTTTCCCCGTAAACGGTTGTCGACTGGTAAAAATTATTACAATTTGCACCCGATTACTAGCACTTAGATTTTGTAGATAAATAAATAATTGTTGAAAAATAAAAATAGCATCCATAATAATTAAAGCTCGAAGAATACAAAACAAGACGACATTTTGTATGTTTAGGTCAGTTTTTCAAACAATGTTATTTTCTCTTCGGATCGTTTGGAGTCATGCGAACTAATTGTTTAAACTGTCCGCGTACAATGGACGAGAAAGGTTTTGATGTCCTATCCAAGCCAAATTCTTCACATGTGTCTAGGTAGGTGTCTTGCAAGAACGGTATTACACTGTGGTCTAAAGACGGAAATAAATGATGCAACGTATGGTCACTAAACGTTACCAAAGATACAAATATATTATCAGTTATTTCGTTCCGTTCCTCGCTGGTGTCCATTTGATGAATTCCCCAATCGATGTCTTTACCACTAAACAAAGCCACAATAATATTCATTAGTAAATAATTGTATCGTTTTAAACTCACAAGTACAGCTTTTTATTATAATATTATTGAAATAAAAAACCAAGGATATCACATGTCACTCTATACCAGGGGTGGCCACAACGAGGCTCGCGAGCCACATGCGGCTCTTAAATCAGTTTCGTGCGGCTCTTGAACTAAATTTAGACTTAACTTAATTAATATAAAATATAAAAGTACTCGGGGTTGTGACATTAAAGAAGCCCTGGATGGGGTTTTACAGAAAAACGCAGTGCAAATCGGTAATATTGTCAGCATTGCTACCGATGGTGCACCTTCTATGACTGATACAAAACAAGGGCTTATTGGACTATTAAAAGCTGACACATCATATCCTGATTTCCTACCTGTACATTGTATTATTCACAGAGAACATTTAGCAGCAAAATATTTTCAATATCCGCATATTATGCAGATAGTTCTAAAAATTGTAAACTGTATTCGCTCAAGTGCCAAAACACACCGACAGTTCAAATCTTTTATAGAAGATATGAACAACTATGAGTTACCTAATGATGTATCTTGGTACTGCTTAGTGAGATGGCTATCAATAAGCAATGTTCTTGGCAGTTTTTTTGAGTTACTTGATCCAATCAAACAGTTTATGGAAGAAAAAGGAAAATCTTTTCCTGAACTTAATGAACCCCAGTGGTTGTTAGATTTGGCTTTTTTTAAAGATGTGGTTCAGTATTTATTCTTTAGTCTTCATTTCAAAAACATCGCTTTACAATGTGGCTCACCTCAAATTAGCTTTATAAATTTGCGGCTCCCAAAGTTAAGGTTAGTGGCCACCCCTGCTCTATACTATATGCCTGCTATAATATAGACAAACATTATTAATATATTATAAGTACCTATACCTACCTTGAATATAAATGAGTATTTTAATTCTAATAACAACACAAATATTAAGGGGATCGGTGATGGTGTATATTTAAGGAGTTGGGTATAGGCAATATTTAAAGTGCGTGCGTAAGTCATTTGTAACTGTGTGCGTAGTAAATGATTATTAGTATGTGTACGGGTCTCTGCCCTACACCAGGTACTACCCACTCTACATCTTATCTGCTAATTGACAAATAACCATAACAACACTGTATAGTAATACACGGTAATAATAATTACGTAAATACCCGCATACGCATTACGCTGTATTCTACATTCTATATTATTATTGTTCGACGTCCATTGTACACACGTCTTTTTAGCTTTACGGCAAAAACCTTCACAATTTAATTTTTAATAATTAAAAAATATATTTATTATAAAAACAAGAATTTTCTATTTATTTTAGGTAGGTATAAAGCCTAATTTAGAAAGTATATTAAAAAAATATATATACAAATGTTATGGTTCCGGTAAACCAGATCTTATAGGTAACCCTCGATCAAATCTCGAATCTATAATTTCTGGTACCTACTAAAGATTCCATATAAAATTTTGTGCATTGGGGTTCAATATTATTTTCCAAAATTCTTCGTCTCTTAATATTTTATCAACTACAAAACCTATAAAAAAATACAAAATATTAGATTATGTTGATTTGAAATAAAAAATGAATTAAAAAGTATAAGTTACCTTTGGGCGTCCACACTACAAAATAGCACCATTTTCGTTTTGTAATATTGAGTTGTCCTTGTACTTGGAAATAGTAACAATAATTTTTTTTTAATATTAGTTTTTCATCATTATAAATCATATATTTTAATTTTTTGTTATTTACAGCTTCTTCTGGTGTATACTCCTTTATACTTTGAGGACACTTAATCTCAACTATTGCGTCTTTGCCTATTAGTCCATCGGGACTTGCGGCTAAATAATTGAGTTTATTGTGTATAAATAATCCTGCTGGTTCAATTTTAACATCAAACTTTAACTTACAAAATAAATTTCTAAACACAAAACAATTTTTTTATTGGATTTTTTAATCCTACTTTTTGTTAACATCTAATTAAAATAATTAAATTAATTTGTCTAACATACAATATTGCACGGGGACACACCTAGACCTAATATTATATTACAGGCGCGTATCCAGAATTTTATTTCGGGAGGGGCTGAAGAAAATTATCAACATAGTCACACAATAAACAAAAAGTGGGTAAGTGGATGTCGCTCTGCTGTACAGTAGGTAACAAGTGGGTAACTGTAATGGATGGTGTAAAATTTGAATTCAATGATATAATATCATTGTATAAGAAAAACGATTCTAAGCGAAAACGGTCAGTCAGCCTATGATATTACCAAGTATATTTGATGATATTATTGTGAATAAAGAATTTATATATTTACCTATTTACGTGGATCATTGTTTTAAATTTTTAATCCTTAACTATGAAAGTTGAACATTTTATAAATTTTTAATTACAAAATATTTATTATATTTTAAATTTGATAAATTTTGTCAAAATTCGAACTTTAAATGATTATAAGAAAAAATTGTGCCTAGGTATGTATTTTTAATATTTTTCAACTAATATTTTTACAATATATCAGGAGCCTTGCGTTAAATTTTCACGCTTTTTACCCAACAAAAAATTTTTTATTGATATTTATAGAAAAAAAACTAAGAAAAATGAAAACTGTCAATGTCCGTAAATAGCTCAAAAAGAGGCAAAATATTTTCAAATTTTTTTGGTGTATAAAAAATGAAAACATTCAGCAAAATTTTAAGTTTTGTGATCTTTCAGTATTTTGTCAAGATTCGAACTTTAAATGCTTATAAAAAAACTATGACTAAGGATTTTTAATATTTTTCAACTGCTATTGTAACAATATAGCAAGAGCCTTGTATTAAATTTTCAAGCTTTTTTACCCAACAAATAAAGTTTTATTGACATTCATATTTTTTGGATTTTCTTGAAATTCCAGGGGGCTGCAGCCCACCCAGCCTCCCCCATAAATACGCCCCTGTTATATTATTATGTAAGAAACAAATTGTTATCTTCGGTATAAAGATTATTTACTTACTGTACTTGTTTATTTTCGTTTGTATTTGTCACAAGCAATTTATACTTCGAATGAAGTATATTGTGATTAATATTTGATGTCGACGGAGATAAAATATTAAAACCCATTTCTACATCATCGGTATTTATTCTAAATAACGAAAATAAAATTCTATCAGTAGCCCAAAACGTGTAAATGTACAAAAAAAATAAAATTTATTACGAACAATTCAATACTACTTTGTTCTACATACTCGTTATTTTGACCTTCAATTGGAATAGTCAAACTATCGGTGTTATCCTACGAAATAATTTAAACAAAAATAAAAAATGAAATTTATAAGTAAACAAACATTTAAGTAAGTATATTCAGTATTCACTTACTGTTTTTGTATGCGATGAGTTTGCCAATTTAAAAGTGATGAAACATTACCTCTATTTTTTTTCACTTTGGATAGTTTTTGTTTTTTATTTCCCATTTTACCAAATTATTATAAAGAAAACAAATCACGTATTATAAAAACAAAATCTAAGTTTTAATCACTTAAGTGCGCAAAAATCTTGCTATTTTACACTAGCGAAAAAAATACATAATATACCAAGTCCAAGTGTAGTAATGACGTGAGGCGAAGCTCAAATGAACAATATTTCATATTTTCATGTTATATTATTAAATTATATTTCATTCATACCAAATTATCAATATACGCAAGATATTAAATATTTTATTATAAATTTTATAATTGTACCGTAGTAATACCTAGAATAGTATAATTACGATTTGTAATCTATCTATAGCAGACCGTGGCATGCATAGACATAATATATATATATGTCTATGGTGGCATGCGATATGGGTGAAGGAACGGTAGTGGCGGAGGAACTCTTCCGCACGCGGCACGCGCGGTACAAGTCACTGTCGCATTGTCGCGCGCATGAACGATCCAGAACGTGTGTTTTTTTTTACTAAAACTATGTATTTTTATTCCATCATACTGATCGCTGTAGTTATGCGATAATACTTTTAAAAACTGATTTGAATTCGTTATAATGTCTACTTGAGATCGGTCAGTTCACATTTTAAGATTTCTGATTTATATTCCGAATAATCAACGTTTGAAAATGCCGAAATTTCAAAATATTCAAACTAAATTTTTGGTTGTTAGGGGGGTGAAATTGGGAAAAATAGACTGACCGATCTCAAGTAGACATAATAACAAATTCAAATCAGTTTTAAAAAGTATTATCGCATTACTACATCGATCAGTATGATGGAATAAAAATTGGATGTTTTGGCTAAAATAACTGTCCACCACCGATCCCCTTAAATAGAATAATTATTACGATAATGTATAATTATATATTATATTATTCATATTATACTGTTGTTAGTTTGTTACTCATTAATAATTATTGTAACTTATAACTTAGGTACATATATGTAGATAAGTCAATATACCGACAGTCAGTAGTAACTAGTAAGTAGTAACTGACGTAGGTAGGTAGGTACATCATAACGCCAAGGTGTAAACTTGAAAGTGTAAAATATAGAATCGTGGTATAAATGCATAACTAGCTTATTCTTATCCCTTTAGTACCTAATACCTTCCTATATAATATAAATTTAAAATTAATCTAAATATTTTGAAAAATTAATTATGTACTGCAGAAAATAATAGGTACTTTATGTAAAATAATATATGTTAGTGCATTTTTTTTTTACAACAAAATGCACTAACATATGTTATTTTACATAAAGTACCTATTATTTTCTGCAGTACATAATTAATTTTTCAAAATATTTAGATTAATTTTAAATTTATATTATATAGGAAGGTATTAGGTACTAAAGGGATAAGAATAAGCTAGTTATGCATTTATATTAAAATTAACACTGTTATTGGTTCTGTTTTTTTTTGCAAATTTATTTTAAATAGGTAATTTCACTTATTTTCAATGTACAATATTATCTTGTTTTACTTTGTTCTGTGTATTGTAGAATACATTTTTTAAAAGGGAAGTTGCAGCAGGTATAAATAACAACTTTAAATAAAACATAAAGATTTGGATAGTTGGATATACCATACAAGTAAAGCCGTAAAGGTGATAGGTACATAGTACATGTTTACAAACTATTTGTTATGACATTTTAGATCATAATTCAAAATGTTTCAAGTGCAAAATTTTTATAAGCTATATCTACGAAAATGTCAGAGATCAATACATTTATATCTTAAAGGAGCACAAGACAAAAATAAGTTTTTTTAATTTAAAAGAATGTTCAATTCTAAGAATAATGTTATAGGTTTTCCGTTTCTCCTCACATTATTTAATTAGTTAACTATGACTTATGAGTAATTGAAAAAAGATGTGTGACGTCTTTCTTTTAATAAAAATATCACTTTTAAGATTTTTAATATTTAAAAAACTAAACGACATATTGAAATTCTGATGCTTTTATCGCTAAGACCCCCTTAGTCTTCTGCAGTGGCGAGGCGAAACATTTTATCAGTTAATTAATTTTTTGAGTGACCTACCTTGTCTCTAACACATTGGCGATTGGCCATTACCCATGTGGCATGTACGATATGCACAAAAAAAATGTAACACTTCATCTTGAATACCGTAATTGAATTATTAATTGTTACACAAAATTACACCTATTGTAATTAATATTAAGGTTATTACTATAATTAAATATCATAATCAGATGAAGTTAGTCTTATACTACAATTTCTCACTAAATTCAGTTGGTAGGTACCTACTCTAATTATTTAATCAATAAATAATAATATATTATACAATATCTGATATTTTTATTACTTGATGTGGTCTCCATCATGGAAGTTATTGGGTAAATGATGAGAAACACTGAATCCGAGGAATAAAAACACAGAGCTACTCGACATTACCATAATCAGCCACATGTTAAGGACTAAACCAATGGGCATGCGGCCACAAATCATCAATATGACCGGAATGACGAACATTAAAAGATCGGCTTTATCATTCATGCGTTTGAAAGTTCTGAAACACAAGTTAGTTGTACATTATAATGTTATTATTGGCGCAACTAGGTTTCTGGGGGGGGGGGCAAACAAAACTATTTATTTAAAATAACCCATAGGGGGCTTGCATCTAAATCAATAAGGGATATTTTTGGGGGAGCTAAGGCCCCCATAGCCCCCTCCCCCCTAGTTGCGCCAATGACTTGCATAGGGATATTGTTTTAAGTCATTAATTGTATTTTGTAGGTATAGTTAAATAACACTCCCTATGGTCCATAGTCTCGACCGTTACCAATGATTACGTAAACTTACCTGATGACGAACTGTCCCGGTGCAATGAGAGGGTAGGCGATGAGAGTAAGAAACGGTGTGTAACGAACTAAAGGCGGTTTGTCATCGGTCGGAAACCAATGAATAAACGGATGCAACAATGTCATCTCTAAGTCTTGCACTGTGTTGGTGTAAACGTGGTGACTGATCACATGTGATATTCTCCATTCTCTATATTATTATAAAAAAACGGTAAAACTATTATAACAACTATTAAACTGTTGTATATACCTATACACGACCATAGGCGCAAATAACGTTTGAGATTTGGGGGGGGAGGGCTAAAGCCTTACTTTTATTTTATTTAATAAGCTTAAAACAAAATGTAGGACAGGTTTGGGGGGGGGGCTTAGCCCCTAAAGCCCCACCCCATATTTGCGCCTATGTACACGACGGAATATCAACGAAGCTATATATAAGCTATACTATAGCTATACTATACTATACTATAAGCCAGGGGTCTCTAAACTACGGCCCGCGGGCCGGATACGGCCCTCGAACAAGTTTTAAACGGCCCGTGGCCCGCATAGGACGCTTAGATAAATATAGATAAAAAAATTATTTCAAAAATGTATTTATATAATATTATATTTATACTTATTTATTTTTATTTAAGTATATTGTAAAGTAAACAATATTTTATACAAAAATATAAAGTAAACATATTATTTATATAGGTAGGTACCTAATATATTATCATAAAATTAAAAATTATATGTGTTAATAAACTTTTGGCCCGCTAAGAGCATTTGATTTTTTTTGTGGCCCTTGAATAAAAAAGTTTGGAGATCCCTGCTATAAGCTATACTATATTATCGAACATGACCTACCGCACAGAGAACAAGCTCAGTTGCATGTAATACATCCTCCAATTGTCCTTGAGGTGAGTGAAATTATGACTTGCAACGGTTCCAAGCCCCAAACTGATGCCCGCAAATAAGGCCAAAACTGAGCTTTGAGTTTGTGCGACTGCCGCGCAGAGGATAAGTGTGGCGAAGAACCAAGTATCGATGACCAGTATGGATTTGATGGAAACTTCACGACGGTTGATTTCGGATAACTTCTTTTTAACTCTAGACTTCAACACGCTGTAAAATCCGTCGGGTTTGAACGTGAAAGGCGAGTTCCTCGGTGTCTTCGCCCGACACACGTAAAATTTACCCATCACTTCCTTTGCGGCTTTCTGATTTAAATGATACGTTTCAAATAATTCTGTGATATCCGTGCCCTAAACAATAATAAAATACGAATATAAATTATTTATACGATTATAATGATCAAATTTCGAGATTTTTCTTTCAATATTTACAATTAATAAATCAACAAACCAAATTACGTCTTTTTTTCCATATATATTATAACAATATTATTTGGGAATAAAATATATAGTTTCCGTCATTCAGAATGGCGATCAGTATATAATCATTAGGGCTAGGATTTCAATGCATTTGCATTTTTTTTTTGGGATATCTTACGCGATGCTTTCCAAGCTACAAATATGTTTCAAGTACTTCGCAATCTAACCATAATAATTTTTGGGGCATTTTTGACCTATTTGTCGTATTATGACTTATTGGCAGACAACCGTCGATCATTTAAATTCCAAAACATTAAAGAAATTCTTATTGTACAATGCAATGCAAATATAATTTAATTTTTCATTTTAATTTTTTTTTGTACATTGTAATATAATTTATTGATTTATAATTTATAATTTTTATTAGAATTTTATTTGTTCCTCATTTTTTAATAATAATTAAATTTGAATCTATTTAATAAATAATCCATTTTTTGAAACGTCATTTTTTGATATTTTAGGGCATTTTTTAGAGTTTTTAGGTCATAAATGCATTTTTTGAAACGGCATTTTTTTGATATTTTTAGGGCATTTAAATCCGAGCCCTAATAATCATTAAAAATGGTATGCATAACAATATGGCCGGTCGTAGAAAAATTCAAAATGGTGGAAGAGGACGTATTATAGTATATAGGTATACCCTAATATCCATGTCCCGTTATAGGCCTTATGCCTATAGAGTATAGGTACATTAATGTTTAATATAGGTTTCGGGTACCTACAGCATCATTAAACAGATCAATTGATATTCTGATTAAGATAAAAGTAGTGCTACGATACGTCATATTTCTACGAAGTACATACTTTTGTAATTTCTAGCCATTGCGGTCCTCCAGGGTGCTTATGTATCCATTGTTTAAGATCATACAGTCCATCATAAACTCTCCACAACCCGTCAGCGCCATCTTCCTTTTGGCGAGCTTCGATCCAACTGTCGGCCGACTTTATATTGCGGTCCGTACTTGATAAATTATTCCATTCAGGCCAACTACTAGTTCTTGGAGCCATAATGTTCTTTATAGTTCTAAAACAAAATCATAAAAAAACGGAATTGTTTCTCTCCATTGTGCATTGCATAAAATATGTGTAACATAAATATTAAACATAATATTGCATATTATATACAGGGCGATTCAACAAGCATGCTCGCAACCTTTTTTCTTCCATAATGAAGTTATTTAAAATCTGATTTTATGGGGAACTGATTTTTTAGCGGTGAAATGAACAAACATTTCGCGGGGTAACCCCGAACCACTCCACTCCGCTCGTCTAAACTTTAAATACTTATAACTCATAAACTACTCGCCCCAAATTCAATTTTCATGTATCAAAATACTAAGAAAAATATTCTACTTTAGAATATAAAATTAAAACCCTATATTGTCATTCAAAAAAGTAAAAAACTTAAAAAATTATAAGGATAAAAAATAATTAAAAAAATAATTTTTTAATAAAAACGTTGTTTTATAAGCGACTTGAAACTATGTAAAAAAATATCTTCAAAAAAATTTACACTTTTTGAAATAATGAGTGTTGTTTGATAAAAGAATCACCTGGTATAACATATAGGTACTATATATTACTATGGGTTATTGGTGAACTTATAGTATATTTTTTATTCATTTCAACAAAAACTAAAATCCAATAACTATACTATGTTGTTATTAGGCTAAGTTGTTATTGTATATTTGACTAAAAATAACAATTAATATAATAATTGGTAGGTTAAATAATTAATAATTAGGTATAGTTATATAATCGTATAAACAATTCGTATAGTAAGTAAAATTAGAAGTGGTTCAACCTTAAACTTTTTGTGAATGTTGTGCCCGTGGCATACTGGCATATTAGGTTTGTTAATATTTTTAAATTTTTCAATCTACCAGAATTCGATGAAATGAAGGATAAATATAAAATGATATGATATCCGTACATCGTTATTTCAATTTAATGAATAGAAAAGTGCTCTATCGCATGTTGTAACGTTCATTTAATTGTTAATTTCCTCATGGACATGCCAAAATGTCTACTGATTATCAAAGACAATATTATTAGCATATATAGTTAAATTTTCAACGACATAAGTAAACAATGTAAAATTAAATATAATAATGTAATACCATAGGACATGGGTATACCTACTCTCTTTCACAAGAGACGAAATCGTTTCGAGCACGTCGAATTAGCCCCGTTAAGCCCCCCCCCCACCCCCTCTACGCAGAAACGGCCAAATGTCAATTGGTAAAAAATACTATATTATTATGTTTTATATTATAAAATATTTTGCACTATAAGTATTAAGTAGAGATGGGAATTGTACCGTAACATTTTTTAGTACTTATAATATTTTTAATTAGTAAATTCAATACGAACTCAATGAGATTTTTATAACCGAGCTAACCATTCTACCAATGTACCACTCCTTACTACAATATTATGTTAATATATATTATTATAAGTATGCATTGATGCGAACCTGTGGGGTGCCGGTGAGTGAACCAAAAAGAAAGGATCAAAAAACAAAAAAAAAACAACAAGACGACGCACTGGTGTAATTCAGTTTTATTAGTGGTGTGAAAAAAAAAACATTCGATAAATTGAGAAACGGTATCGATAACAAATAGACTCGAGGGGACTTGTGTAAGGTCCGTTTCCGAGTCGTTGAGAAAGACAAGTGACTTCCACAAGCCGGTTCACCGAACGAACGGTCGACGGTCGTCGTCGTCCGTCGTCGATTGGCGGTTTGTTTGAGAAGCCACAGCGCGGTAGTACATTAGCAGTACGGTTAGCAGTAATACATAAATTATATAAATATAAATTGGTTTAATAATTTTTTTATATACACATATATCAGTCATTAGATAGCCAAATGTTAAACTTAAAAAAGGTAGGAGCAAGTGGGTACTGCTCTGCTCTACAGACTACAGTTGTAGGTGTCGAGTGGTACACCGTAATGGATGTGTTAAATTTTAATTCAATAAATAGTGGCGCAACTAGACACTTGGGCCTTGGGGGCCCTAAAGTCAAATATAAATTGGGGCCCTCAGCAAAAAATGTAAATAGTCTTAAACAATTAAAGGTACACCGCGGTATACTGCTCCTTCCCCACTCATAAGATAATCAAAACCTTTCCATCGTTGATTGTAATATATTATGTATAATAAATACCTCTATAACAGCGAAATGGAAATCTTTGTTACGGGTTGGCTTCGAAAATACATGACCGATTTGGCTGATTCTTTTTTTTTGATGTTTTCGTAATTAATAAAGGTTAATATGAAAGACAATTTTAGGAAAATCCACCAAAAAAGTAGAAAACTTGGAAAGCAGAAATACAACAGTGGCATCATCTGTCCAGCAAAAAAAATGAATTAAATAATAATAAAATAAAAGTTTTACTATCCAATTCATCGTTAATTTATTTATACATATAAACCATTTTAACGGCCTACGAAGTGCATGGGGCCAATTAGTAATTTCATAACATCAAAAAAATTGTATAAACTATCTTTTTTTTTAACTTTATAAATTTATAAAATATAATAAGTATTAATATTTCAAGTTTTTGTAAAAAATCATCTACAAAACGCTCTACAAAATATTGAGAAATACAATAGTAGAGAATATCAACTCTTGATAGTTTATATAACACATAATATAATGATCTAATGTAATTCAGATGTGCCAATAAAAAATATATATTGAAGTATACTATATTTTTTTATATACCTATCATCTTTGCCTACAGTTCAATTATACAATTTATTAAAAAAAATACCTACAAGTTTTGATATTTGATTCATTGTATCCAAACTGGTGGTTCTTTGTTCTTTTGCCTTCGGTATAGCAAAACTACTTACATTGTTGAACCTTCTTGTTGACATAATAATTATACAAAATATACAAATAAATTACTTAAAAATACTTCACGATTACGTAAATAGAAAATGGGTAATATTATACCAATAAAGAAATTTAACTATTTAAGTCTAATAAATCTTTTATAAATTCGCCCTCTCGCCCTTAGAACGTAGGAAGCTAACATATAGATACTATTAGCATATAGTCCATTGTCCATAAACTAAAATAGTAAATAGAATAAATATATACGTATCATTAAAATTGAAACTATCATATTATTATATTCATACAATTATTTATTAAAAGTTATAACACACACACGAAATGCACAACTAAATAAATTTCAAGACTTAACACTCAAGAGTCGAGACGTAAACACTGTATATTATAACACATAATATTTTATATTGTTAATTATTGATAATTGATAGGTAATATTTGATATTATACATAGATGCGGCTGCCAGTGGAGATTCCCATTTATGGTATATAATCCATCACAATGTAATTATTACAAAAAATATGTAGATATTGTTAAACATTATTTTCACATTGATTTAACTTAGTTCCTGTTATAATAATAATACGAGTAGGCTGTTGATTGTTGTATACATTTTAGAACACTATTCTTCGCCTCCATTGGGTAATGATTTTATAATATTATTAAATCAATAACTCATAGTGTAATATTGGTAATCCATAAGCTATTAACAATAACTATCAAAATATAACTGTCTATGTAATTATTTTATAACTATCTCATTTTAATGTAGTTGTTTATAAAAAAATATCGTTAATAATAATAATAATTATGAAATGTGAAAAAATACTAAAAAACCAATTTTTATTATGGGGGCCCCAAAGTTTCACTTTGCTCACTTACCCGCTAGTTGCACCACTGTCAATAATATATATTATATTAAATCATTGTATATACGAAATACGATTCTGAGTGAAGATGATCTGTCAGCCTACATTACTTGCGGCATAAGCTATGACATATTATAGCCTATAGCTATTGAACAATTTTTTTGATACTAGTTAATAGTTATTATAAATTATTGATATAAAATTCATTTATTTTACTATTTGTCATACTGTAGGTTGAATTAATTTTTGCCAAAACATATTGTATTTTAAAATGACGTCATTGTGCGTATAACATATAATAATTTATTTTAAAACCTAAAAGCTACAATAGTACTCATGAATATTTTTAAATTATAACCAAATAACTATAAGATTTTTATTCTTAATTTCGTCCAAATTTAAACTTAAAATATCTATAAGTATGAACTAGGTATAGCCAGGTAGGTCTAAAGTTTTCAATACTTAGTTATATAAAAACTGTATGCTGTACAATAGTTGTCGAGTATGTCATTGTAATGGATGTGTTGGATTTTAATTCAATGATAAATCATTGCATACGAAAAATGATTTTGAGCGGAGATGGTGTGTCATCCTAGCATATAGGTAGGTAGGTACATGTATGAATAATCAAATTGAATTATTAAAAGCCTCTAAATATAAATAATCAAATAATCAAACTCCCATAAAAATGATTGCTACTGTCTGGTAAACTTTTTTTTTTTGATTAAGGTAGAAAAACTTGTTGGAAATCTTCTATTAAAATGTCTAATGTTAGGTATAAAAATAAAATCAATGCGTAAGGAGCCTTGAATTAAATTGTTTAATTTTTTGACCTAACTATATAAGATTGTGAGCGGAGCGAAAAAGTATATTGATTTTACAATGATGTGTGTTCTTTTTCTGTCCATCATTACCTTTTGAGGAAGAAAAATGCTCCAATTTTATACTTTCACCAAACGTTTTTATTATCATTTTCCATACATAATGAAACTTTAAAATTATTCCGCCTCTTTTTGAGCTATTTATAGCCATGAGAAACATTTAATACATGGTTCCTCATAAGTTGTTATAAATTATATTAGCAGATAAAAAAACATTAAAGAATAAAGATACATAGACACGATTTTCTTATAATAATTTTAAGTTAAAATGTTGACAAAAATAACCAAAATCACGAAAATTAAAATCAAAAACTATTTTATTAAATTAAAAATGTATAAAATGTTCAATTTTCATAGCCAAAGATTGAACATTTAAAATTTTAAAACCAAGTTTCT